TCACTTCCACTGTAGCCACACTAAAACTGATTTCCTGAAAGTGTAAAGCTGTGTCTTCCCTGAGGGCCTTTGCACGTATTGCTTTCCTCTGCCTGGGACACTCCTGTGCCCATTCACTCCACCTCATCCTTTAGATCTCAGCTTAAGTTTTACTTTCAAGAAGACTTCTCTGGCTCTCCTAAGTTACTTAGATATGTTGTACCAACATCTTATATTTCCTCTCTCATAGTGCTTTTCCCCCAGTTTTATTGAGATAGAATTGACATATAGCCTTGTATTAGTTAAAGAAGTACAGCATAATGATTTGATATGTGTATATATTGTGAAACAATTACCACACTAAGTTTAGTTAATACCCATCAGCTCCCGTAGTTACAGAATTTTTTCTTGTGATGAGAACTTTTAAGATCTACTCTCTTAGCCACTTTCAACTATACAGCATAGTGTTGTTAACTATAGTCACTGTGTTGTACAGCATCACAATAATAATAATGTTGCAGACAACATCCACCAATGGATACTAAAAGTAATGGGCAAAAATTTGTGGAGAAACAGGATTTGCATTCTCTCAAAGTATCTCCCCCAAGATATTTATTAACTACAAAGGGTAAGACAGTAACTTTACAGTAGAGAAACGTAGAAGAAACCTTTATCTTAGCCAAGCGATCAAGGTCAGCATCACCAGTAACAAGACATGTCAACGTCATGAACCCCATGACATGATCCACTGAGAGTGACACAACATTGTTTTTGTGGTATTCTTGCCAAAAAGTCTCAGTTGGAATATGAGGAAAACATTAGACAAACCCACGTTGACTGATATTCAACAAAATAACAGACCAGGACTCTTCAAAAGTGTCAAGGTCATGAAAGACAAAGACTGAGGCGCTCTTACAGACTACAGGAGTCTAAGGAGAAATGACAACTAAATGCAACATGGGGTCCTGGATAGAATGCTGGAACAGAAAAAGGTCATAAGTGGAAAACTGACAAAATTCTAATCCTGCCTTTAGTTAATAGTGTTGTGCCAGTGTTACTTCCTGGTTTTGATAATTATGCTACAGTTATATAAAATGTTAAGGGAAGCTGGGTAAGGGATATACGGAAACTCACATCTTTTTGCAACATTTAAGTCTAAAATTAGCACAAAATAAAAAGTTTTAAAAAATAAATAAAAGTCCTACTGACAAAAAAAAAAAAGTTAGAGCTCCAAGCTGGAAAATTACTGAGGCCGAACCCAAGTCTGGAATTATTCTTAGCTTCCAGTCCCAGGATGGGGATTAGAGTCAGAGTTGAGGGACAGGAGAAAAGGCAGAGAAAGTAGTTTTTGACACTGAGCCTTCAGGTTCCTAGAAACACAAAAAGCCAAAGTAACCCGAAGTGTTGGAAGGGATGCGCTGAGTCAGAAATCAATCAGGTGGTGGTGAGGGCATTCAAGAAGTGATGAGAAGGAGACAGGGAATAAGAATATGAGAGCAGACCTGAAGGAAGGTCAATGACAACATTAGAATTTAAGTAATGCAAATGCCAGTCATGATGTAAATTAAATTTTTATGTCCAAATGAGCTCCAGATTTTCAAAGCTGCCTTTTCTTTATGTGAGATTAGCTTAATCCTGTCACAGTTTATTCATTTGAAGTAGAAAAGAATCTTTAAAGAGTGAAGGCCTGGGATTTTTAACACAAGTCTGACGGGTTTGCTGCCATTCAGTCATTTGATTAAGGCCTTTGATGAGGATTTTGCTTAGTTGTATCATTTCTTGTGTATAGCTTTAAATCAAAACCTTTTTATACCCAAGGTGATACTGACCTCCAGTCTTTTTTTTTTTTTTTTTTTGTTTT